TGTATGTATATATATATATATATATATATATATACTGTCTCTTATACACATCTAGATGTGTATAAGAGACAGGTATGTATGTATATATATATGTCCTTTATTCGAACACTGTGTTTACCTTTATTTGATGATTTATCTTGATCTTGATCTTGATTATTATTATGTTACTATTTATTTCCAGCCGTACTTACGCCCTCTCGAGGTGCACCATCATTGTGTAATACAACGTAGCTGGCGGTTATTTGAAGCTGTGGTTTAATGGCTATGACGCATCCCGTGAGAGGAATTTTATTACACAATGTATTTATGTATTTATTTACAGGACAACATTCGTTGATGTACCATCATGTCCCTTATTGTAACTGTATTTACCTTTCTTTGATGATTTATATATATAATTGAACACTGTTAACGACTATTTTTGATTATTATTATATGTTACTATATATATATATAAATATATATATATATATATATATATATATACTGTATATATATATAAAATTGCACAACTTGAACCTATTTTGTCTTGCACTATAGTAGATTACCAGCATGCCTGTCTCTTATACACATCTAGATGTGTATAAGAGACAGCAACATACGTGAAACCTACAATCATTATATATATATATATATATATATATATATATATATATATATACATATACATATATATATATGTATTGTCATATAATAAATTTTGGAATTACGCCAAACGTTTTTCAATTTTTGAGGAAATTAATATCGGCGTCACGCCTTTGCAAGCTTCTGCTAAGTCGTTCTGCACGTCTGCATTCTTGCTTAGTGACCGTACTGGTGGACAAAGTCAAGTCATTGATTAGATTACCAAACTTTAATAAATTTAAATAATAAATTGAAATAATGATTTATATAATTATTTAAATATTCTCAGTATTTGTAGGCCTTTACCTGTAATTTTGTATATTAATTTTATTTATTCGTGTTTTAGTAAACATTAAAACAGTACAATACCCTATACAATACACATTCAAATACGGACAGGAAACCCAAAAAAGTGAACTAACGACCATCGAGTGGATTACCTAACCCAATATAGGTGGCCCTCCCGAGCACCAGATTGGGGAATGGGAGGGGAAGGGTTTCTTCCGTCAAAAATATACTCATCTTTTTAAACAGTAGTAATTATTTTTCTTATCAATCATTGGGGAGTGGCAAGAGTGCAACACCGTGTTTTTTGTGTTGATTTTAGCTTTCGTCTTAGTGGTCTGGGTATATCTCTTGAGTAGAGGGACGATTATGTAGGCTAGAATTTTTTTCCATTGTTTTTCAGATGCAGTCTCGCGACCCTTACAAATGTTTTGGTGAACCTATTTGGGTTAGGAACTGATGGAATGCAGTCTAGGGTAATTATCAGTCCCAAATATCCGTGGCGCTCCTTCTTATCATTAGTTTGTATAGTTCCTGTCCCAGCTTTAAAGTAATCTTTGAAAATGATGTCAAACATTATCGCGTAAGTAAACCTGACCTAAGTAAACGCTTTTATGACAAAAACGTACAGTCATCATAATATCCGATGACTTATATAAGTCCATGGTAGTGATTTCTCCAGAAGCAAGTTTTTTGTTCCTGTTACGTCACTGGTGTAATGACATCATTACTACAAATAGGAGGAGGGCGCCATTCTGTGGTGGTATATAAAATAAAGGCGTTTGTTGCGTTTTGTAAGCAAAGCGTCACACACAACCGTGAAAGCGATTCAGTAGAAGATTAGAAGATATTTATTCTTCGTTGTATTTGTATTGCATAAATATCTGAATATTTGGTAAGTTATCTGCTCTATAGTTATCAATCTGTAATTATTTTACTTTCAATATCAATTAAACTGGTATGAATTTGGAAAAAAGTCTTTATTTTTGATAGAATTTTAGGTTATAAAATTCAGCAAGTCACGTTGCCGTGACGTTTCCGTTTGCTTTGGGCTATCTGATTGCGCCACAAATTTTCCAACAAAAGACTACAAAATACAATCATTTTTTCATAGGTACGACTGCCTAGATTCACACCCATCGATCAATATTTTTCGAGGGAGGTTATAGAACACATTTAAATCCATAAAGTGCTAGCTTAGGCCTAGGCTCAAAAATGGATTTAGGACCTAAACTAATGAGTCTTTAGACCAGGTCCATGCATTATTATACTTATTTATAGGCCTATCTATGATGATAGTATGTAGGGTCCACTCAATCTCACTGAAACCACTGAAACGAATTTCCGGATCCCAGTGAAACAATGTAGTGGTGTGGACCATGGGTGTAGTTAGTAGACTAGGACCGTTTGTACCGTAATGTTTTGAAAACTTTGTATTGTATTTTTTTGATTTATATAATGACTATTTAAACACTGATTATTATATTAATAATAATACAGTATCATAATAATTATTGAGTAAATGGTGGTAGAAAAAGACTGGGAAAGCAAACATATTTTTTTAAAAATTTGTCAAGGGAATCCTAGGCCAGGCATAACATGTTAGCATTCTCACTAGTACAGTAAATGCTTGAATAAGTGCCGTGCTCGAATAAGCGCCGCACCATACCTTATTTTTTTAGCTAAGCACCACTCTCGAATAAGCACCGCAGCGCTCGATCCAGACTATATGTTACCCTGTGTGTAATGAAACACTTTAAGAAACGGTTATAAATACAATGTACTGTATACTGTGTTAAAATGAATAAATAACACAATGAAGAAACAAGCATTTCTGTATGCTGTTGTAGAGATATAGTACCATATTTTTATTTCCATTTGCTAAAGGTACTGTATGGTAAATGGCATTATGTTACCATCACCCAATGAAGTGCCAAAGTGTTTGTGACGTCATCTTTCAATACCGGCATTGGCATTCCAGATCATTTGTTCATTTATCTATAACCATATCAAGCAAGGTCTAAGTCCTCAGGACCAAACTTTTGATATAGACCCAGGCCTTGATTAGACTTTGGTCTAATCTATTTACATGCAATAAAAAGCTGAATATACTGTAAACTGTAATATGAAGATTCATAATGATAGGCCCACTAGCACTTTATATACCGTGATAATGTTTTAAATGGGCCTGCATCAAAAGTATATCAAAATCTGACATCAATAGGAAATCATTCTCTCGATCTGGATTCTGGCCAAACGATGTTTACGACTGGGGGAAGTACCATAACAGCGACCAAGTCTACAAGTTGGGTGAATGTATACCTATGGTTGCATTTGTAGTATTCAAAGTGTATGGATATTTTGGTCGGATTTGAAAAGCATGACCATTTCGAGTATATTCAGTGTTATAACCTGGCTTCTTGGACTAAAACTTGGGATGAGATTTTGGGGGTTGAGAACTTCATTTAATTTACTGTACAGTACCTTTAGCAAATAGAAGTAGAAATACTGTACCGTATCTCTAGCCACAGTGTTCGTTATAAATGTTTATTTACGATTTACACTCAAATCTTACAAGCACTGCTGCGCTTATTCAAGCATTTACAGTAACTAGTAATATAAACCTATTTAGTTTAAAAAAGTAATTATATCTGAAATATTTTATTAAAAAAAAAAACCAAATACCCAGCTCAACAGAGCCAACAAAGTCACATGACAAACCAAGGACAAACACTGACTGAATAAAACCTTTAGTAAGTTGTGAAGCTTAACTATCATTGTAAGCACTGCCATTGCATATTTAACTTACTAAAATACATTTAACTTGTCAAAATGCTTACATGCATATCATATCTTTATATTAATAATAACAAATATTTGTCTTTTTTTAGGAAAATGCAGATTTTTGTGAAAACCCTGACTGGCAAGACCATCACACTTGAGGTTGAACCATCGGACACCATTGAGAATGTGAAAGCAAAAATCCAGGACAAAGAGGGAATTCCACCAGATCAGCAACGTCTCATCTTCGCTGGAAAGCAACTTGAAGATGGCCGAACACTGTCGGACTACAACATCCAGAAGGAGTCCACCCTTCACTTGGTACTTCGTCTTCGTGGTGGCATGCAAATCTTTGTAAAAACCCTGACTGGCAAGACCATCACACTTGAGGTTGAACCATCAGACACTATTGAGAATGTGAAAGCAAAGATCCAGGACAAAGAGGGAATTCCACCAGATCAGCAACGTCTCATCTTCGCCGGAAAACAACTTGAAGATGGCCGAACACTGTCTGACTACAACATCCAGAAGGAGTCTACCCTTCACTTGGTACTTCGTCTTCGTGGTGGTATGCAGATCTTTGTAAAAACACTGACTGGCAAGACTATCACACTTGAGGTTGAACCATCGGACACCATTGAGAATGTGAAAGCAAAGATCCAGGACAAAGAGGGAATTCCACCAGATCAGCAACGTCTTATCTTTGCTGGAAAGCAACTTGAAGATGGCCGAACACTGTCTGACTACAACATTCAGAAGGAGTCTACCCTTCACTTGGTACTTCGTCTCCGTGGTGGTATGCAGATCTTTGTAAAAACACTGACTGGCAAGACTATCACACTTGAGGTTGAACCATCAGACACCATCGAGAATGTGAAAGCAAAGATCCAGGACAAAGAGGGAATTCCACCAGATCAGCAACGTCTCATCTTCGCTGGAAAGCAACTTGAAGATGGCCGAAAAGTTTGTAGTGTGTGTGAGAGGTGTGAAAAACATGGAAATACCATTACTTTACATAGAGTACAGCAATATAACACATCTAATTTTAAAAAACTATGAAATTCAAGTCTAAAATCGTAAAGAATCCTATTGTACGAGCTACCTCACCAGTCCGCGCTTCCAGCACCACTATAATTATTCTGGTTTGATGGATACCGGCGCTATATAAACAGCAACTGTCATAAAATTTCATGTTAAAAATACATATTTCATGTAGAAGGTGAATTTTTCGCACAGCAACACCATATGGATATACTGTATTGTAAATAAATATAAAAATAAATTTATTTTCAATATAGGTATGAAAAATATGTTTTTAAAAAGAGGCTCCAGACATCCCAATGGTTCAGACCTCTTGATTCCTGGAGCCACCACTGCTCACTTTCAAGCAGGGGTGTGTATAAAAACCGGTTTGAGGGCCAAAGTGAATTTTTGAGGGCTGCACAACTTTGATGTTATCAGTGAGCTTCCAAAAACCTCCAAGCACTGCTTTTACACCGCTTTATTCTCCGTTTAATGTTATTTTTTTCATAACACCAATGTTACTTGGTGGGCCGAACACGGGTAAAAAAATCGCTATGAGGCCTGCGTGCTGCACTTTACTCACCTGTGCTTTAAAGGATCAAATAATCAACTTCCTACATAATTATTGCAATTTCAGTACTCGGTTAATATAAATTAGGGATATACAGTAATTGCAGTATTTGTATTCTTTGTGTTTAAAATAACACGAGTTTAAGGAACAATACAATATCTTCTATCAGGGAAACTCTAGTAAGATTGTCTCTTTGTGTTGGAATGAATTCAGCTTTAGGGGTTCGAAATTTGATTTTAACTAATTATTGTTTTGAAAATTCATTCAATATTTTTCCAGAATTTAAAACACTGAGACCTGGTCGAATATTATGTGCCTAAAGTTCATTCAGCTCGTATGCTCCTTTACTTTGTCTACAGTGATGCAAGATTTATTTATTTCAACACCTCATTGCAGTTTAAACTGAATTGCGAGTATGTTACAGTATATTAAAATTGTTAAAGAAAATATATACAAAGCAATCACAAGATCAATTACTAAAACAACAATGACCACAATCAATAGTAAATGCAATATTTAACACACAAACATTCTATATTAAATTGAAGTAAAAAGATAAGGCAGTATGAAACAAACTTGTTCATCTTCAGGAATGGAGAGATGGATGTTGAATAAGGAAAACCACTAAAAACAAATGAAATGAGAAGAGAAACATGATTCGTATTTAAATTTTATTAGCAAGTGCTACGGTATGGTAAGGCCAAATTAAATAAATTGTTTGTTTGCACTTCTTTTAAAAAAAATGATGAATAGGGGCAGGTGGAAAAAGTTTTTTTTTTTGAATTTTTTAAAATACTGTACTCAAATGGAATAAAAATAAACCACAGAGGCCTAGAATGGCAATATCTTGCAGCAGACAACAACTTAAGACTACTTTTTAGGGCATCTGGCTAAAAACTAAGATACATTCACTCGCATTTTTTATAATTTGTTTAAAAAAGCTTAGTTTTTTTTGTTTTTCCGCCCCTACTTTTTTCAGTGAGTTAGGGGCGTGTGGAGGAGGGCAAACAAACAATTTTTTTTGGCCTAATATAAACCTGCTCTACCATAAATGTATTTGATTTAACATCAATGATGCAGTATTATATGTATTTAGCTATAAAAGAATCTATTCCAACAATTTTTACAGTACTCTGTACAGAGTACTGTACATTAGAATTTCTCTTCAGTTGGTAGTAGGCTAGGCCTAAGATTTATTTTATATTACTACACTTAACTCATCCTTTCTTTTAATTCTTACATACCAAATTCAGCTAGAAATAAAAAATGGCACATAAAATACTATTACAACAATAACTTGTGTCATATTTTGATTATATGTATTATTTAATAAATAAATTACATTTTCAAGTGTAAATAATAAATGAAAATATACCATAATTCTTTAGGTCTCAATTATCATTTTTTTGCCGATGATATCCTGCTCTGGAAAGAAGTCGATCTTGACAATCCCGCTGACATTGCTTCTACTATTTCCTTATTTGAATCATGTTTCTCATCTATTACAAATTGGTCTTCAATGATGAAACTTAAATTAAACCCTAGTAAAACTAAACTTCTTTTCTTTTTTATTTCTTACAAATATCGTACTCGCACTGTTCCTGAAATTAACATAAATTGTAATGGTATTAACATATTTCCTTCTACTTCGGTTCGGAACTTAGGGGTCATATTTGACAAACATCTTGACTTCAGCAACCATATATCATCTGTATGCCAATCGGGTTACTTTCATCTTCGCCGTATCCGTTCCATTAGACCTTACATTTCATCTTCTGCTGCTGCTTCTCTTGTTCATGCTTTTATTTCATCCAAACTTGACTTTTTGCAATGCATTGCTCAATGGTTTACCTGCTATTCAGAAACTTCAGAACTCTGCTGCTCGTGTTGTAACAATAACATTGTCTAATAGGTTCACCCACATTACGCCAATTTTAAACATTCGTCACTGGCTTCCAGTTGATAAGCGAATCATTTTTAAAATTCTTCTCACCCAAAAATCTATCCATGGTCGTGCCCCACTTTATCTGTTCGCTTATTGATAAACAGGTTTCTTCCCGTTTTACTCGTTCTTCTCAATCCCTCAAACTTGTTACTCCACGAGTCAAGCATAATTCGTACCGGTGAACGCTCTTTTTCTTTCTCTGCTCCTAAACTCTGGAACTCTCTGCCTCCTCAATTACGTATCATTTCTGATCCGCAATTATTCAAATCTACTCTTAAATCCTTCCTCTTCAAATAGTTCAACTTTTTTCTAGCATCCTCCAACGCCGGTGACAAGCCAGTTTTGTTTGCTTTAATAATGTGTATTATTATATTTATATTATATTATAATATTTTATATTGTTGCCTATACAGAGACAAATCTAAATGTACAAAATGTTTATCATCAGTTAAACTTGCTAACTCGAGTAATTTCTAAGTCCATCTTATTTTACGTGCCAAATTGTTGTGTTTTCCATTTCAAAGTTAACAATCTGTAAGTAAAAATCTAAGTTAAACAATTTTTCAATGTCATTTTGGATTCGACTTCAAGTTCAACTGTATATTAAACATTACACATTGCAACCGATAGATATAGAAATGCTTTCAAATAAAACTGAAAAATATTTGTGGAACAAATGTCAAGCATTTATTAAGCCCTGCATTTTTGTAATTGTTAATTATATTATAGAAATATTAATATCAGTGTTAGCAAATTATAAAATACTGTACATAATTCAAAATATTTGATATCACTGCACTAGAAATGTCCATAATATTTTGAAAATTGTATATCTAAAAACGTAATATAAATATTAATACATCTATTATAGTTTAATGTACTGAGTTATTGAGCATTTTGCTTAGTAGTTATTATTTCTGGTGTTTGAGCTCGCTTTTTTATTTAATTTTGGTCTATCTACCGGAAATGCTTCTCGAACCAATGTGATGTCATCGAATATAGACCAATTGAGTGTAAGTACTGCAATGCGTCATTTTATGGTATGCAAATTAATTGCAAATCGCGCTTCACACAGTCTCTTCTCGGCAAACAGCAAGACAAAATGGCTGGTACAGAATATCAAACAGAAGATTTTTCACAAGATCCTGCTAGTGAAGCTTCCTTTATCGACCCTACACAAGCATCAGCTGAACAACAATCAAATGGTGCCAGTTTAGAACAGAAACTTGCAGCAGAAAAAAGAATAAGTGCATCAAAACACGTTGACGATGGAAGGTAAGTCGTGGCTTTTTTGTCTACCGGTGTCTCCCCACGCTTTCAACGGCGAACGCCACTGTTCACAAAGCCATGTGACTAGAGAGGTCGGCATTAACTACAAAATTAAGCTCAATCGTATCTTATTTTACCAGTGTTTTTCTTGTGCTTAGTTCGTTAAAATTGTTATAATCTCGGCAGTCTTATTCTACAGGAATAAGTACACGTAAACATGTCAGAAAATGATTTATTATGACAACACTGTGTGCACGTTTCGTCGTAAATATGATACTAACCGACATTTGCTAACCTAACGCACCTGCGGCAGTTAGTTACTATACCCAAAATTCAAGATTTCATTATTTTGTGTCTTTCCGATGAACGAGGCAGTTGCTGCTGTGTTGAACACAAACACAATGGATATATAAAAAATATCCACGCCCTAAATTGCTGTAGCCTGTGTGACCGTTGTGTTTAGCCAAAAAAGAAAAAAAAAAATTTTTTATCATGGTGATTAGCAAACTAGGCCTAGAGTAGAGGCCTAGTATTAAAAGGTTTCTGTTGCATGAAAGTAATGCACTTTTGTTTGATAACAACAATGAAATAAGTATTTTTGTTTCTCACAAATGTCGACTTGTTTCCAGTAGGGTTTTTAACATGTTGAACAAGTTACTTTGTTGAAAATAATTAGTCACTCGCACAATACATGCAAATTATCAACCATTGTCAAAGTAACAAAAACTGAATTGTGTCCATGTGATTAATAAATTTACACAGGCCTGAGTTTACAATGTTTCGTTTCATTGTTTCATGCTACCAAGTGATAAAAAAAAAGCATTCTTTTTAATTGGGGTAGGTTTAAAGCTTTCATGTACAAAAATTAAACAATAGCTAGGCCTAGAAAGAATTATTGTCTGTCAACTTAAAAGCCAAAAAATATACAATGCAACACAAAAATAATAGTTATCATTAACAAATTAACAAAATTAATGCTCCCAGAAAAGTCCTGTCTTGTCAGTCTCAGCATTTTTTAGGGAAGCAGGTCAACTTGCCCACAAGTCAACTCGCCCACAAATCAACTCGGCCACAAAAAGTTCGGCTGCAGTCAACTCGGCCACAAGTCAACTCAGCCACAAGTTATTTATAATTAAAATGAAATGCAAATAATACTCAGTTTTTGCATCCTTTTTCTTCAATATGATTAAAATGAAGTACACAGTATATTTTAGCAAAATTCTGATCATCGTCGTGAGATCGTTGTATTCATTTCTTCACACTGTACTCTTATTCAACAGAGAAAACCCGTCACTTACGGAATAGAATACAACACTGACATAATACATGAGTACATACTAATCATAAAAAATTTAAATAGAAAAACCACATTATGATTTTAAAAAATTTTTTATTTTGAATCCGACTAAAATCAAATGAATGCACGATGGTGTGCATTTCGATACTATTTTCTTCAGAACCATGCCCAAGAATTAGGCCAACGTTAAAATTAGGTGGGGTGCAGCATCTAGTATCAGTTATCCACAATAGGAACAATTGGTATTGTTGAGTGAAACTTCAGTCCTTCATATTTGTTCGACCATTTGGGGCTATGTTTGAAACCAGTCAGTGACAAGGATGCATCCATGACGTGAACCACCAGTGACATGTCGGTCCTTTTCAAATATTTACTTTAATAATACTAATTAGTCATAATAACGATAATAAAGGTGATAACAACAACAATAATAATAGTAATATTTATTTTAACAATACTAATAGTAATAATACTAATATGGTAATAATAACGATATTTAAATATATATTTTAATAATACTAAGGGATAATAACATTAAAGGTGATAATAGCAATAATAACAGCAATAATAAATTAAAGATAATGTTTATTTTTATAATAATAGTCAAATACTAAGGTGATAATAGCAATAATAACAGCAATAATAAATTAAAGATAATGTTTATTTTTATAATAATAGTCAAATACTAATTAGTAATAATAATAATAATGATAATATTTATAATACTAGGCCTACTTAGTAATAATAGGGTAATAATATCGATAATAAAGGTAACAATAATAATAATATGAGAAAAATACCAATAAAACACCAATCAATATTTTAAAAATTACTATTATTAAAATAATAATAGACTAATATATAATAATATGAATAAAAAAATCGAGAATTTTTTATTAATTATATGGTAACAATAATAATATCAGCAAAAATTTAAACAATACATAATGTTAATGCTAAGACTAATAATTAATATTAAAACTAACGGTAATAAAAACAATAATAATAATAACAATAGCAATAATAATAATTGAGTTGACTGGTGGCCGAGTTGACTGTAGCTGAACTTTTTGTGGCCGAGTTGGATCGAATTCTCAACCATTTAAATATCAATTCATCCATGTCGGCATTATCATAATGACTTGATTGCATCTGCTTTGTGATATACCGTAAAACCTTGAATTGGAGCCCCATGCTGCTTTTTTTTTTGTAGACTGTGGGTGGGCTCCTTTTTTGGCCACTTTGTAAAGTAAAGAAGGGTACCTGTACATTTTTTTAAAACTAAGTGCTGTAATGTTGGGAATTAGTAGTATAAAACAATAAATGGGCACTGTAACATCAATCTGTATCATGGATTGGGTCTGTGATTGTATTAACCGGCATTAAATTGCCTAAACTACCAAGCATGTTTTTTATTTATATATTTTTTTAAAATTCATGAACAGTGTATCTCAAAAAGAAGCCCATGGGCTTCTTTTCAAGGCTAATTTTAGGAACTGAAGAGGTGGGTTTCAATTCACGGGTTTATGGTATGCAAGTATAACCACATTTCCAATGCTATTCTCAAATTTCAAAATCAACTTCACATACATACAACTTCATATATTTTGTAATATTATATACATTCGATTGTTATTTATTTTGTTAAATTTCCCCCCCCCCCTTTTTTTTTGTTTTTTGTTTTTGTTTGTACGAACGCACCAATTGATATTAAGTGCCACCGAAAGGTGTAGGTTCAAATAAATAAATAAATATACAGCAATGATCAATTATTATTGACAATATAATGAATTCTATGAATTTTGTACTGTACATCATTTAGTCACATTGTACTGTAATGGTATGTTAAGATTGAAATTGGCAGCCATCTTGGAATGTTATTTGAACGTCGTCAGTTATGTTTTGCAATGATGGAATGTCACTGTTTTGTGTTACAAGGTCAAATGTTTATCAAATTAGGTTTGATTATACAGTATATCATGCCTTGTGTTATTAGCATTGAAAGTTTTGCATTAAGATATATGAACTTAAAATAATTGCTCATTGTTCAGCTTCATCCAATTAGTGTGAGGATGTCACAAAGCTGGTATTATTAACCAATGCATGTAAAGACAAATGAAGAATTGCAAACTAATGTTTTATGAATTAAATTAGATGATCTTGCAGTAAAACCCCAATTTACAAAATTGTTATTTATAGAAATACGATATACTTTTTTTCGAAGTTATGTAGGACTTATGATTTAAAGATACTGTAATTATAATTACACCTTTGTTGTCTACTGTAACTCATTGGCTGTTTGAATATTTACTGAATACTTTTTTTCTCTCTTGCCTTGTCAGGAAAATCTTTGTCGGAGCCCTTAGCTGGGAAACAAATGACAGTAAGTAAACCTCTTTCTGTTTGTAAAATAATTAATGTGTGTTTTGTAATATGTAACAGGATGGGAGACTTTGGTTAGCCAAAGTTGAAAATCTTCACTCACCAGCAAACACCATCTTGTATGAAGCACAACCCTGCCATGCAGATCTCCTTAGAACACATTGATCTATATTTTATTTTTTTGGCCATTGCAACTGTACATAGATGAATGTAAATATTATTGTTTCTTGTATAGTGGATAATAGCTCATTGATGAATTTTGGAGCAAATAAATATTGAATTTAATCATCACATTGTTATTAATTTTATTTATTTTACCATATTTAAAGAGGTTATCTCTCTCAACACAAAGCTGACTTGAAGAGGCCCACTGTAATCAGTACACTAATACAATAAAAAAAGAAACAAAAACAAACACAAGCCAAATCCAACACCCCAGCTGCTTCTAAAAGATTTTTGGGTGGCTGCACGTAACATGCGGCGTTAGTTGGAATGGCATTCTAATGTAGAGCATCATTATTTGTTCTGCAAGGTTGTACATAATGCGACTTTAGATGAAATAATAAAAGAAATGTTTATTTAGTGCTACTCTATAGATATTGCAAGTCTGTAATCATTTTGTTGTTTCTTTGACAGAGAGTATGAAGGACCATTTTTCACAATTTGGTGCAGTAGCTGAAGTTGAAATAAAACGAGATACTGAGGGAAAATCAAGAGGATTTGCATTTGTACTTTTTGAGGATGCTTCATCTGTATCAGCAGTAAGTTTATAAATTTAAAAGGGAGCTTTTATTGTACCAATGGTATTTTATAATGAAAATTTCCAAACATTTGGATTGCATGCTTCTATAGTGTAAGTTTTTAGCTGTCAATTAAAAATTTATAGGATTCAAGTACCTGATTTTTGGAAATTACAAAAAATAAATCACTCAATTGCTCTCACTATTTTGAATTCTGGAGTATGTTGCTATATTATTTCCATAGGGCCTTAAATTGGTAGGTAATTTTTAAGACCTTTATATGAAATATATTAGCGTAAAAAAATAAAGTTGGAAAAAAAGGGATTAAGGGACTGGTGAATTTCATCTCATAAAGACTGTCTTCATTCTTTAAGGCGAGACTTTTTTCATACCTTGTGCAAACCTGCCGCCCGCCAATGATTTTGGAGGCAATTTTTTTAAAGGTTAAAGGTTATTCATTTATATGACTAAAAAATAAAATTTAATTTTTATTTGCCCCCCTCTGTCCTTTAAAAAAAAAACTTGGTGAAACAAAGTATTACAAAAGTCTTGTCAATAAATAAAGAGGTTCTTGAATATCAGCTAAACAGAGATACTGCAAGCTGATATGGCTTTGTTCTCTTTGGAAAACAAAGCTTCTAACTTCATGCAAAATGATTTTTCTATATGTATTCTTTACAAAGGTTCTTTCCAAAAATGATCACATAATTGACAACAAGCTTGTAGATGCCAAACCAGCTCGTGCACAGAAGAAACAAGAGCCAGTAGTAGAAAACAAGAAGATATTCATTGGTGGTTTAGCTCCAACGACGACAATTGAAATTATCACAGATTTCTTTGCAGCATATGGCGCGGTAAGAATAAAATTTTATCATTTATGAAAATCCTCCACAGCCGTGTAGATGGGGCTTCACCATGGTGGGAGATTTGAAAATTCCATAATAGCATTGCCCTTCATCCAATTTTGTAAAAAAAAAGTTAATTTGGATACTGTTTAATTTTGTTAGATTACTTCGATTTAAAATAAAATTTTACTTTTCAAACTTCTTTGTGTACATAGATAACGTATAATATTAGAATATACCGCGCCATATTAGGGTCGGGAGCACAAATATATGTGACCCACTCTAACAAAAACATGCCCTTTCCTCAACAAGTGAAAATCGTATTTACGTATAATATTAGGGTCGGGAGCACAAATATATGTGACCCACTCTAACAAAAACATGCCCTTTCCTCAAGAAATGAAAATCGTATTTTTAGAGGTGAAAAACTAATAATTATAGAAAAAATTGTTAGAGGTTTGTGTAGGGGTGAAAAGCTGATGATTAAAGCAAAAATTGTTAAAAATGAATAACAATTGGTGATGATATATTTCAGTCAAACATGCATTATGCTGGTCGATACTTGGGAATTTTAGCGGATTTGAAGACGTTTTTGACAGCAGGCGCCTGGTTTTGCAAGATTTGGTCAGATATGTTCTGGAAAATAATTACTAGCAGAGTACTCAATGTGTTAAACTTTCCTTATCACAGGTTGAAGAGGTTGTTCTACCAGATGATAAAGTCACCAGGAAGAAAAGAGGGTTTGGTTTTGTAACATTCAAAGAGCAGGAAGGAGTAGACAAAGTTATGGCTGACAGTGTACCAGGACAAAAGACATTTGTTACGTTAGATAACCAACAAGTGGAAGTAAAGCCAGCTGTACCACGAGACCAACAAGAAAACATGAAAGCACAGCGAGCTGCCCGAGGTAGAGGTCGAGGAAGGGGTGGCGCAATGGGAGGATGTAAGTACCCCAAGGATTCTTCTGTTTTCTATTTCGTTGTACAGGAGTAAAATCATTTTTAAGTCTATACCCCATATGCTGAGAAAAATAATTTTTAAAATTCATCAAAAAGTTTAAATGACACTTGAGTTTCTCTATCAGATCGTGGTGGCTATAACCAGGGAGACTATGGCTATGGCAACTCTGGTGGTTATGGATATGGCGGTGGATACAATGACGGAAGCTACAGCTACGATAGCTACAGTAATAACTTTGGCAATTATGGATATGATCAATCGGGTGGCGGATACAGTGGACAAAGCGGCTATGGGGCCGGGTACAACTATGATGGCTACAACAGCCAAGGGTACAGTCAAGGATACAATCAAGGTAACAAACTAATTTTTTAACAGGCTTTCTAATATTTGGGTTTATGCCAGTTTTTCCCAAATTTTGAAAGTTGCCCCTTTATAGAGGCTAGGCCAGGGCCAAGTCATCAAAGAACCACAGTTTGTTGGGAGGGGGAACATGTGGAGTGAAGGTGGGTGTGGACTTGTGCCCATCTTCCAGGCAAGAAGCTGGCACCACTGTTGCCTAAAAAGTTATCAGTCTTGAAGTCTGGAATTACAAAATTAATTGCTTTTCAATCATACAAAAGTATATTCATCATTTAACATGGTACTGTAGTATATTTTTAATGTTCTTTGTATTGGATCTTATTTTCTCTTTGGTGCATGCGGTCAAATCCTGCTCTTATCATCAATCACTTTGGTCATTGTAGGTAGCGGCCCCGGGGGAGGTGGTGGATATGGCAAATGGAATCAAGGAAACCGCAGTGGACGAGGTGGTGGTGGATACCATCCATATAACCGTTAACTTTTTGGGAAAATCTAGTTCAAGGGGTAAGTTTCCAAAGCAGGGGGTTAACTGAAAGCTGCCTAATAACCCATGAAAAAAATGAAACTGTCAATATCGTTTACAGTGATGATCATGTGTAGTAAATAAAGAAAATAAAATGCCTGATCTGAATTCTTTTACTTGTGTAGAGTATTAAAATCTCTCAAAGTTTTAATATTTGATTTGATACTTGGATATTTTACCTTTTTACCAAGTAATCTACTTGAAAGCAGAAGGCACTAGAACCTAGGACATGCCCTAGGCTAATGGACCTTTCCAGAATATCAGACTTAACAACTGACCAATCAGAATTGGGCTAGAAGTATGCGCACGTCTAACGAGAACACATGCTGTCCCACAATTGCATGTGTTTACAACTCTGTCGTTTTGTGGGACCTTGGCAACAATATTCAAGGGAAGGGGCTTAGTTAAATGTCCATCGTATAAGAAGGAAAGTGACCAACCAATGACCCTCTTTTTTGTTGACATTCTGAGCTTCATGTTGAACTTTTATTTTGGTACTTCCATTTTTGTACTTCCCATTTTTGCAACTACAGTTTACTTGCCTAAATCGAATAATTTCTAAGTAGATCTAATAATTTTGTATACCGAATTGTTGTTTTTCATTATTTAACAAGTCGAATTATATCTAAGTCAAAAAATATTTTAATGGCATTTTTGATTCGACTTAGGCAAGTTTAACTGTATTATTTTTATTACCTTTGTTTAGTACTGTATTTGATTTATCTGCAGTACAGCTGGACTCGTGGAACAAACTACCATTGCTTTATCTGAATTTAATTCGTCGGGGTTTTTTCACGATAAATTGTGGGTTTGAATATTTATGAATTTCATGTTAGGTTTTAGTTCATGACACTGATTAGCTTATATTTACCAGTCATTGAATTTTGGAATTTCACAAAATTGGCAACCTTTTTGGGGTTTTTCAATAGTGCATGTAATTCAGAACTCGCCAATTTCATACAAAAAAATTTCACATCTATTTATGTTTTCAGTATTGTTTGATCAACAATACAACTTTGTATTTTTCTTCTTCAGGGTAAAACATTCACCTTTCATCTACAGATGGGAAATAGATGGTATTTTGAGTGATTATCTTTGAAGATGCGATTAGCTGTTCTTTGACGTTCTTGGACGGGACTTTGTGAAACCGTCCTAAATCCAGACTTCTGTTTCAATTCAAAAAGTGAAAAAACTATGGACATGCTGAGTGGCGATTACGTCATGTTGACGACATGGTGTTGCTGTATAAATGTGAACCTTTTTTTTTTCTAACGTTTCCAATTATTTTTCCTCTTCAGTCTTGTGGCTTCTTTGATATAATGTGAATATGTGTTGTTAAATCTTGTTTATCTCCTCAAAAGTAGTGAATTTCATGTAATTGATTAAATAAAGACTTGCATTTTAATGGTTGGCCCTAGGACTATAGGTGTAGTTGTTTTCTTTTGAGTCTTAACTGAATTGTAAACTCCAAAGCATAGTAACAAGTGCAATCCAAATACTTAAACTTATTTACATATCATTAATTATGTCCATTAATATTGTTACAGTAACACTTCACAAGTTTTTTTGTACTAAGGATTGAAAATAGAAGGCCAAATGGTTTGATATCAAACCACTGTCAAGTTAATTATACCAAAAAGCTGCTGTTTGTGTAAATAACGAAGGCAGTTCTTAATTATTAATTAGCCTTTTGGGCTCGTTATGTCATGTACAGTGTTTTATATGAAGAATGAAAAACATGTTTTGATACAAAAAATGCTGCATTTATGTCTTCATTCAGTTGTCCGACCTCGAGAAAAAAAATTAGAAAAAAATTAATTAATTAAATTATAATTTGGCATGTTTAATTAATTGGCCTCTGGAGTACATTTATAATTAAATTAACTGAAGCTGGATTTTAATATTGGGAATGTTTTGGTTATCAAGGGATAAAATACTACTGTTAAAAGTTATTCCCTATAACTATTAATCTAGCTTTGAGATAATGTACAGTTATAGATTCAATCCTTTCTACCTAATTAGTCTTCAATTAATGTTAATTGATTATTAATTAGTACATAATTTAACAACACTTGATAACAATTTAAATAATACTCAAATTTATAAGTAAAATAATTGACATTTTTATTCCCATAAACAGAGTTAAAATTAATACTGTAATTTAAAATTCTGTTTTTAAAAATAACACAAACTTTAAAGTTCACTTATTTAACATGATTAAAAGGTAAATACTGTTAATTTTAAATTAACTTTTAACATATAATTAATAGATTAATACAATTACTGTAATTTAAAATTAAATAAATTAAACCAGTTTGTGCGTTGAGACAAGGGTGGGTGTTGATGAACCTATACAAGAGGACTAAGCTGAAGTACAGTACTGAATTGTATACAGTGCAAGGCTATAACTACAGGAAACTAAATATTTGGCATTTTAGTTTTAGTTTGTGTATTTATGCAGTATAGCACCTATTCCACATGCTTAAGTGTTGCTGCTGGTAATCAGCGCAGGAGAAGGCAACTCCACTAGGTAAGAGAGATTTGTTGAGGGGAAAAAAAAAAAAAAACAATAATAAAATAGTTATATCAAATGTTGGCCTTAATTGGATAGGTCTTTCTAAATTAATAGTTCGGACGACGACGAGATACAAAAAACACCATCCTTGGGTCAAAATGCCCTGTATGAGCGTCTAGCGGCTTATTAAGAAAATTATTGCAATTCCCATTGGGAAGGGGCACTCCCCTCCTACAGCCCTTGGATGGCACGTAAAAAGTAAAACACTTGCCCTGCCGTCACTGGCAGCTGGGTCTAGGGTGCCGACAATTTTTGGCATGTGAAGTATTTGCAAATACATTTTAAGCTTGCCAAAGTCGAATCCAAAATGGCATTAAAAAATTGTTGCCTTAGGTAAAACAACAATTTAGCATGTAAAATAAGTTCGACTGGAGTTCGGCAAGTTTAATTATATTACTGTGATCAGTAATTCTGTTTTTTCATGTACATACTTTGTCTTTTTTATATTCTTCATATTTTTCATCATCTGTTGGCAACTCGTATCTACAAACAGGACAGGAGTTGGTCTGTGAAAGCCATGGCTGTATACAGTTGCCATGGAATCTGTGTTGGCATGGTAACATGCTAGCATTTTCTCCACTTTCGAATGGTAAAAGGCAGACAGGGCATTTGGTTCCTGAAAAAGAAAGGGGCAGAAACAATAAGTATTTACTGTATTGACATTTTTTATTCTGACATGTCTTGGGTTAAAATATTAAGCATACAGTACATACCTATTGTCTCTATTTTAACTTTTTCTAAATTTTCCACAATTTTCTTTGATGCTGGAGGAGCCTTCATCTCCAGTTCCCATGGAAATGGAATCCTATGAAAAAAAACAACAAAAGCTTTAAAACACAGTTTAATTCAATTTTATTTCGCATTCAAATTCAGCAATTGTGAGAGGTCCCTCCAGCACCAATCAAGAAAATTTCTCAACACGTTTGAAATCCTTTAGAATGTGCATCACTGGTGGTGGGCTAGGAGGGCTACAGGCCCCGTCAGGGAGGCTTTTCCCTTTGTGGGGAAGTTAGGAGAGATTCCTAACGTTTATATCAAATGTTGGCCTGAACTGGATAGGCCTATATAAATTAATAGTTTGGTCGCCGATGAGATACAAAAAACACCATCCTTAGGTAGCACCCTGTGCACAGGGATGGTTTGAAAATGTGCAAGATAATATAGGCCTAAGTAGAGTAACTAGTGCCAAAATTGACCACTGAAGTTTTCCGTGGTAGTATTCTTCAATTGAAACAAGCAAAAAAAAAAAAAAATCAAAAATGTGTTATGATGTAGGGGTTACCCCAATCAGATCTAAAATTAAATCCTGTAAACAGAACTATTGTATTAAACAAAGAAAACTCCCAAGACTGGTATTTGTTTTGATAAAATTGTAATGATCACAGACTCCTGATGCTTGATTTGAGACTTGCGGTAGAAGAAGCTCATTTTTAAATCATGGAGGTAAACACAACTAAACTTAGGTTATTTAGCAATATGTCTATTGGCTTTTACCGTCAATAAGATTCGTACTTAATTTAACCAAAGAACACACCCAGTGCTCATAATACATTTCGATTGTCCTACAAATAATGCAAGTTATATGGTTATACAGGACTCTTCTGTGCCTCTGTTCTTCTGATCAGTTTTGAAAATAGACTTCTTTTCAAACAAAATATATAGGGATATATGGGATAGACTTTTCTTAGAGGAAAGAGTTTCACCCAGATGTATAAAGATTGTTTCAACAATGTCGGAGATTATCTTTGGCCTGTGAGGTTAACTCTAAAGATAATTTGGCCCGTCAAACAAATTTATTAAGAACCAGGGGACATAGCTTATTATTTTTAAAACTTTTCTCATTGGGGAGGGGGACACCTCCTTTCCGCCGCTGGGTCCTACGGCCCTTAGAGTACAACTTTTGCCATGCCTGTCGAGGGCATTACCCTGCCATTGGCAAAATCCTAGTGCCACCACTGATTTGTATTGCCTCTCTCCAAATCTTTGATTTAAATAACAAATCATATTTTACTATTTTTGACTCACCCTTCATATCTTTCTGCAAATTCTCTAACATTAGCCATTATTACCCTGGAAAACAAAATGAGTTAAAAAAAATTTGGGGTCAAGCTACTGTATATATATTAGTCACTGTAGTCAAATATACTTAATGTAAATAAAATGAAAAAACAAAATAAACTATAGTATAACAAACGCCAGCAAACAGAATGGGAGCTTTTGATTGTGTGACATTAAAAATTAAACTAAAATGAATGCAATTAGTAAAGTAAAGCTCCACTGTATTTTAAGCCAGTGTTACGCAACCTGTGGTACGCGGACGACTTGGTGATCCGCCAAAAATTATCGGTGGTCCATCAATCGCTAAGGGTCTGTAGGTGGTCCGCCGTTGTATATGGCTTATCATCCACAAAAAACAACACACTTTTTAATTTGACACTGCTTTTACACTCACATGTGCCATGCGTATTATTACAACTGGGTTTAGTTTAATGGCATTGCTTTTTGTTCCCCACCTTGAAATCTTACATGGGTCTAGAAATAAGCCTTGGTCTGTCTTGCTCACACTCTTTGACGTTTCTGCCTCTTTGATGTTCACACACAACAGATGAAACAACAATTTTAAAGCAAATATTAGTGATTAGGCTGAATGCCAAAATTACTCCATCTTTGTTTTTATTCCTGTTGTCATCATTTGAAACTTTGCTTTGTAAAATTTTTGAGTTAATAATCAAATTCCCAAAAACATAATTTAATTTTTTGCCTGTATCCTTTAGCGTTCAGGTCCACTTCATGAATAGTCTCATTGATTATATTGCTCTCAAAAAGCTTATTGCAGATACTGGAGAGCTGGCCCCTGTCGGCGTGAAAAACCACAATTCGTCGGGGAGAAAATAATGTATTTTCTATATATTAGTAGACTCCAAAATCGATCAAATAAAGCCTTTGAAACCACTAACTTGTAATATTTTTCTGGGCCTTCGCCCCTTGGAACATTTTCAAGAGATTTTGAGCGACACTCGACCACGCCCACTTTTTTTGTCAGGGACGTCAGACCCCCCCTTTATGCAAATCCTGGTGCCACCATTGTGCAGACAATTTATTCTATCTGTGTGGCATAACCACTGGCATAAATGGTGTTCTCCCTATGTCAAAAAAAAAAACGATTCTAATATGTCAATACTGATTAATGACTTTGAATATTAGTAAGGAGTGGTCCTCTGGCCCAGAAAGGTTGTGCAACACTGTAACCAAACTTTTTATAGTGGGGTTCTGAAACAAAAAAATGAGTTTTATTTAATTCAATTTAACGAGATGAATGACAAGATTCTAAGTAAATAAGATGACTTGATTTTATACTGTACACAAGTGACTGCAAAGTTTACATCCTAATTCCTATTTTATTGTCATGTCCATATTCAGAAAAGGTTTTGAATCCTGAGGATGTGGTATGCTTGTGGACAAGTGAACCTGTCTGAAAGTCATGTAATCACACAAGCTCCTAAATAACAATATTTCATTAGCATACTACCTTGCCCAATTGAGTAGAGTCTCTGGTTCTGGTCCATTGTTTCCAGTAGGCTGGCAATTATGTTCGTCGAAATATGATGCCATTTTAAGATGTCAAATTTCCTTTGCAGAAGATAAATTATACAACTATAAAATCCACTCGTATACATACTGTAATCTCTAATTAATAATATTCAATACTTTAACATTAAAAATAATAATACAAATTACTTACAGTACACCCAGACATTGTTTTTATGCCTATGGTTCTTGGGTCGGAGTTTTGTTTAATATCTAAAATAGACCACTGTTCATCAGATTACTCAGGCATAGGGCCTAGTGATGTACAGTAATACCATGTAGTAAAAAAGATTACTCAGGCATAGGGCCTAGTGATGTACAGTAATACCATGTAGTAAAAAAGTCCTTGGGCCACATCCACCACTATTCTCAACATTCTTACTACTGTGTCACTGTACTGTTTAGGTATATAACATAAAAATATAGAGCCAGCCACCATAGAACCAAGGAGGTTACAACATATTTTTATACCCCCTTGATAGAACTTACGAAAAAACAAAAAAACAAAAAAAAAACCCTTTATTAACGAACCTTTTGTTGAATTAGGTGGAATCCCCTGTGAATGATGTATCTCTCTCAAATAATAAATATAAACAAAGAAACTTATATTTCCTTAATACATAGGCTATGATCCTCCTGAATCCTCTCCAGATGACTTTGTTGTTTTGATCAATGAGTGACCTTTGATATTAAATTGACGAGTCCATGTTAAGAGGAGGGGTATATATAATTTTAAGTATAGAATGTATGAATATTTGATGATTTATTGGAAATATATTTCTTACCTTTCTATATAGTTTTAAATTAAAGTTATAATTAAAGTTAAATATAATATTATTTATCTAAAGTATATGAGTTTCTAATCACATTCTCATTGAAAATACCTACTCTATTTATGGCATCACCCGGATCACGAGCCCAAAATTATTCAGTGTACAATTATTGTATAATACAAATGGCTGGAGTTGATAATTCTGTAAATTCTGCAGAAGCCCCAAGCTCATTTGCAGGAACAGATAATTTACAAAGAAATGATGATTCTCAAGTAGCTGAGCAACCTGTATCAGCAGTACCCCAAGAAGGTATTTCACAATGTTTGTCTGAGCCTATTTTTTAGGGGCCCTCTACTGTTAGGCCTAGCCTAGGCCTAGATAGGTAGAAAGCCTAGGCCGCGGCATGGAGTTACCCGACCTCAGACTGTATGCGGCCCTACTCTACTATTAGTACTATTAGCCTAAGGGGCCTGCCCTAGACCTAGGAATATGTTATTGTGTGGTAGTAGTAGGCCTAGTAGTAGCAGCAGGGAGTTGTTATAGTGGTAGTAAGTAGTAACATATTTTAACATTGAAATGTAAAATTATAATGAAATATATGATATAAAATTAATTCTTGTTAATTTTATACTTTTTTTTCAACTGTGAAAAATCTTGCAGCACCGTTTTGCAGCATTTGCAAATGTCACATTAGAACTTATATTTTTCCCTACCATATGCGTGTTGCCTAATATTTAAATAATATGTTAATCCACTTAGTGAATAACAAGTTGTTAGTCATTGACAAAAAGGTGATTGTATTGTTACTAAATTTGCATAAAGCGTAAATCCGTTGCCAGCCGGTCATATAAAATGACTAGCGCGAGAGCAAATAGCATTGTATCAAGGTTTTCCTTGACTGTTTGGAAACAAGATTTTCCTTGCACTATTTGCAAATGTCAAGGTTTTTTCTTGCAGCATTTGTAGACAGCAGCAATGTTTCTTTGCATTGTTTGCATACAGCAGCAATGTTTTCCATGCATTGTTTGCAGACAGCAGCAATGCTTCCTTGCATTGTTTGCAGAGAGCAGCAATGTTTCCTTGCGTTGTTTGCAGAGAGCAGCAATGTTTCCTTGCATTGTTTGCAGACAGCAGCAATGTTTTCTTGCACCGTTCGCAGAGAGCAGCAATGTTTCCTTGCATTGTTTGCAGAGAGCAGCAAGGTTTCCTTGCATTGTTAGCAGACAGCAGCAATGTTTCCTTACAACGTTTGTAAACAACAAAGTTTTTCTTGCACCATTTGCAGACAGCAGCAGTGATTCCTTGCACCATAAATTTGATATATTATTGATGGTTTAGACCTAATAAGAGAACAAATAGGGAAAAAAGTCCCAATTTTACATTTTCAAGCATGGTGCATTGATAACTGTTCTAGTTAGGCCTAGTACTACAATCCGTAATAATGGCTAAACAAACCCGTCTTATGCCTCTGTCTTTTGGCCTTGTTTACATCCTGATTTATGAAATCGTTGGAATAAATATTGCATTTGTCGTCAGTCAATAGAAAATTTAAATTCAAAATAAGTGGTAAAATAATCAAGATCTCATTTCGCCTACTGCTGGATCTGCCACTGAACTCATGGGTGCACTTCATTTTTCTCCCTCTTTTTTATTTTTTGGCTGGACACGGCCCACATGGCCCCGCTTGATTTGCCCCTGATGGTTGGGGCTGAGGTGAAAAAATATTGAGAATACGGACCTCTAGGTGCCCGGAAATTGCACTCATACCTTAAAAATCTTACTGGTAATTGATATCAACAATATAATACAATTTTTTTTCTTAATACAAATTAGGAGGGTGCAA